TAACATGTCGAAACCCAGCCTATTCATAGGCGGACCAGCAGCGCCATCAATTAACGTAATTACTACTGATTATCAAAGATTACAATCATCCCCTCTCCAAAATATATTAACAAAAGATCATTCGTTTAAAGTCTATAAACAAAGCAATCAGAAAAAGATAGTAAAAAATAATTATAATGTGCCCGAAGCACATAACATGGGCAAGAAAAGCAAATAACTTGTGAAAACTTTGACCTATATTTGTGACGTTGAGCTTAAAGCTGGATTGTATGTGACAATCCATTTCATGATTCATATGTGTCCATGCATTTCATGTTACATTAAATTAATTTGAGCAGATCAGATGTAGGCCAGACAGAAAGCTTACGAATGCAGATGCAACAATACAAAGACTACACCATATCACTTCTGTCTTTGGACAGGTGAAGAACAAAACATCAAAAGTATATTTATCTTACAAAAACTTTTCCACATCTCAAATAACTGAGAATCTACATCAATTATTGTCAAAGTTTGTGTAATAGTTTGATTATTTTCACTGATCAGATCATCTATTAGCTGAGACACCAGTAGGCGCTTGAGAGACCAAGGTGAGGCGAGGGACCAAGGCGAGGCGAGAGACCAATGCGAGGCGTGGCACCAAGACGAAGCGAGAGACCAAGGTGAGGCATGGGACCAAGGTGAGGCGTGAGACCAAGGCAAGGCGTGAGACCAAGGCGAGGCATTGGACCAAGGCGAGGCGTGGGACCAAGGCGAGTTGAGAGACGACGGCGAGGCGTGGGACCAAGGCGAAGTGAGGGAACAAGGCAAGGTGTTGGACCGAGGCGTGAGACCAAGGCGATGCGTGGGACCAAGGCGAAGCGAGGGACCAAGGCGAGGCGTGGGACCAAGGCGAAGCGAGGGACCAAGGCAAGGCGTGAGGCCAAGGCGAGGCATGGGACCAAGGCGAGGAACCTGGAAGAGGTGAGGAGTGGACCCGAGGTGAGGGACCTGGACGAGGCGAGGCATGTGACGGGCTGTGTGTAGCGTGGGGGCTGCGTGCAGTGTGGGATCCACCTCGGGGGCTGCGTGCAGTGTGGGATTCACCTCGGGGGCTGGATCTTCTGCGACAGGATCTGGAGCAAGCATGGACGGTGGGTCTACAGAGGCAGGGTCTTCTGGTGCTGGTGTTGTCAGGTGCTAGAGCAGGGGCTGAGTCCCTGGAACCTTTATGCTGTTGACCCTTGCCGAGGTGGTGATGGTGTGGTCCAGGATTGGGCCGGGGCTCCTCCTTGGATTCAGTGCCTTCCTCGGATATTGACTCTGCAGCCAGGAAGCCAGGGACTTGTTCTGCAGCTGGGGTGTGACAGGAGGTTCAGGATCTGAACCTGGACACGGAACTGGTACTGAGGCAGAGTCATGCTCTATTTTCAAAGTTCTGAGTCCAGTAAGAAGCTGCTGATATCCAGGATGCTGGATTAAACCAGGTTGGGATAATAGAAACTTTTCGGCAAGGGCGAGTACAGTATCTAGACAGTTCGGTTTATTTTTAGCAGAAAAAGGAGGCTTTGCAGAGTTTGGTTTATTTGAGATAATTCATGGGGTTGGAGCTGAGAAGTCTTGGGGCTAGTTTTGTGATGAGCTCTATTCAGGGGCGAGGGGTCAAGATCCGCCCTCACCGAAAACCTTGGAGGTGAGGCGATGGGACCTGCCCCCATGGAGACACCGGGACCAGGTTCAGGAAGCTCAGTCTCGCCGGACTGAGCAGTAGCAGCTCGGAGCGATGGGGAAGCATCGGTCTCTGCTCTCACTGGAACCCAGGGAGGTGAGGCAACAGAATTCGTCTCCACTGCAGCACCAGGAATGTCTTCTGGAAGCTCGGCTCTACCGAGCCAAGTCGGAAACGTGGAAGGTGCCGGAACGAGCGCCATGGACCGCTTCCAGGTTCGATTTCTGCTGCTCCGGCGGCGCCGAGAAGGCTGATGGGCAAGAATGGAGCAGAGCTCGTCCTCCGGCTCTGCGTCTTCTCCTGACGTCCACCCCGAATAGCCGAACGGAGCTGAGGATGAGGAGGAACTGTAATCGTGGCTCTTTTCTTCGAGGACCAGGAGGGGAGAAAGCAGGATTTCCACCTCCTGGCAGTAACTTCTTTGTGCCGGCACGAGTTGGATCTGGAAACTGCCACACCAGAACACGATGTCCTCCATCTGCGTGGGCTCAAGAGAACAGGTAAGCGAGGTCGAGGAATTCTGTCTGCTGGTTTCTGATTTTGGTTGGTGCATACTATCAGGATTTTCAGGCTGAGCTGAACAAGAACGAACCCATGTGTAGGCAGGACGCAGAGGCCAGGACGTAAAATAATAATCACTTTAATAATCAAAAATAAATAACTGACGTGGCAGCAAAACTCACAGACAGGATCAGGTCAGAGTTATACATGGATCACAGGAGACAAACCAGGGGCTTTACCAGACGATGCACCGACAATGACTGAGACACAGACCAGAGCTTATATACACACAGACTAGATGAGACATATTACAAACACCTGGATGACACGCGGGTGGAACTGATCGGGGTAATTACTGAGAGACACTAGGGAGTATAGACACAGCGAGACTGACAGAAGGATACCATCCTTACAGGATGTCAAGGTACACTACTCCAATCTAGGCAGAAAGATGAAGTCAGTATTTCACTCTGCTGTGATTATTGATGACACATTGTGAAAAATCCCTCAAAAGATGTTTGTAATTTTTTTATTTATTTTTTTTTGGGGGGGGGGGGGGGGCATTTATTATGTCCTAAAGATCTACAACAACATTTTGAATGTTCCTTGATTTATCTTTTGTAATTTTAGAGCAAACGTAAACATGGTTGATCTCAAAACACCATCCCACACAAAGCACTATTATATTCCATCCATCCATCCATCCATCCATTATCTTTCCTGCTTCTTTACTCGTTTCTTCCTTTGTTTCTATCTATCTATCTATCTATCTATCTATCTATCTATCTATCTATCT